GGCGGTCCCTTTGCCACGATGGTACGGTTGTGTCGCCACGATGGTATTCCTGCTCACTCGTGGCAGTTTTCCTGCCCGCTCTGCGTGGGTGGTGATTACCACACTTACCACGCGTGTCCAGTCGCTGTAGTTCCTGGAGTAATATAGAATCTTTCCTATCAATGCCCTCGTGGCCAAGCTATGTGCTGCGCGCCAGAGTCTTCGTCGTTCTGTTGTTGGTGCCCGCTGGGTTTTGCGCACCGTGGTCTATGCCTTTCCGAAGCTGGTGCCCGACATGACATGTGTTGCGTTTCCTGTTGCGCGTCAACATCTCCGCCTTTTCAATGCTGTTGCACGCTGTGTTTCCGGTTGCTGGTGCCCCGACTCGACATGTGCTACGCTTCCCACTGTCGATCGATCTCCGATTTGGACAGACTCTTTCGCGTGTATTGCGCCTTTGGCACGGATTGGGCCTGATGACAGGATTGCTGCCCAGATTCCATGGTCGTGCGTTATTCTCTCTCGGATGTTTCCTGTTCCCCTCCGTCCAGTGTAGGGCTGTGTTTCTCAGGGTCATTTGCAGGGTTGTGTTTCTCGCTGTTGTGTAGGGATGGTTGTCTGCTTCATTTCATTGACCCCTGATTTTCGCCTTTTGACAGTGGTCCGCTGTTTTGTTGTCGCAGACAAGTCTCGTGCATGGCTTGTGGTGTGCATGCTATGCCACGGCAGGCTTGCAGCACAACCTTGGAAAGCATGGACTGTGTGGCGTCTAATACAATGCTCAATGAGGATTTTCCTCCGCCGCACCTGCCAATGTGTTCACAAGATGTTCGAAGTGGTCACGAACATGTCGATAATGTTCCAGAATTTCCTGCTCGTAAGAGGTCACGAAATATTGCGTGTGCGGACACTACATGTGAAAGTGCGTATCCCGTCCTTCGATGCCCGGTTCGAACCTGTGATGCAGAGAGTGCTGAAGGTCAGGAGGGTAAGGCCTCCTCTACTGACAACGACGCATCCGATGTAGATCGTGTTGTATGGGTGCCGAGGAGTTCACTTCGAGATTTCGAGTACACAGGTCTTCTGTTTGGTGAGGGTGATGAAGGTGGTTCAGATTCAAGTGCTTCGGTGTCGTCTAATGCTGATAGTTCTCCAGATAAAACCGATCTTCCGCAAACGTACGCTGACCAGAACAGTGACCACTGTTGTCGAAATGACGATGAGAATTGTGACGTGATCTCGGATTTCGATGACATTTTTCCAAAACGTCTGTCCTCAGAGAAGCATCCTTATACTTTTCGTCTCAGAATGCCGCGGTCAAAGAAGATTTTGCAATCAGTTCATAAAAAACTCACCAAAAAAACACTGGTGAGTGTGCGTGGGCAGGTTTGCTGTAAGCGAGAGTGTTGCGTTCAAATAATCCTGGACGACATCAAAGCTGTCCGGAGCGCATACTACTATAAGAACTAGCAGAGCAGGGATGCGTGGTGGGTTGAAATGTTGAAGAGGTTCAACTTCATAGAAGATGAAAAGGAGATTGTTCAACCTATTATGGGGAGACGAAAGGTGTGCATTTATGCTTGGTGTTTCACACTGGGTGTATGTAGGAATACATTTCTCAAAAAAAAGATGACTTTGTCAAAAGGCTATAATATGCCAGAGCATGGCAGTACTGGACTCAGACGCACATCAGCAACATATGCGACGATGTACAGGAAACTAAGCTCCTTCGTGCAAGACAACGGAGATTCCATGCCCAATGACATGAAGACCAAAGAGAGGGAATCAAGAGTGGTGTTGAGATTGCCTGCTTGATATAACAAGGTTGATATTTATAAGTTGCTAAAGTCACAATTCGACAACATGGGTGCTCCTTGTGTTTCTCTGCAAGTTTTTTACAACATGTGGAGAACGCAGTTCTGGCATGTGAAATTCCATGACATCGATCAAAACTTTGCGAAATACGAGAAATGTGTTTAATACAAAAAATCTATCAATTTCGCAAAGTTCGTGCGTGTGCATGAGTACTTTGTTTCGTTACGCGAGAAACACTTGGACTTGCAGCTCCAACATCGTGCTGCGTATGAGGTGTAAAAGGATGAGTCGAAGAGACCGGGTTCCAACATTTTGTGCATCATCATTGACGGCATGGACCAAAGCAAGACCAACATTCCACACTTTGGCGGAGAGAACAAATCGAAGGCATTCGCAAATATTCCAATGTTGAAAACGAATCTAACAGCTATTATTGCACACGGTCGCTCACCATCGGTCCATGTTCACACATGGGACCCTTGCTATGCACATGATTCTAATGCTGTAGTGTCATCCATTATGAAAGTTCTCCGCGACATCCAGGCGACGAGCGACTTGCCTCCTAAACTGAGGATACAAGCTGACAACTGTTGGAGAGAAAACAAAAACAGATACGTTTTGGCACTCGCTGCAACTTTGGTGAAATTTGGCTTCTTCAAAGAAGTCGAATTCGGTTTTATGTTAGTGGGACACACACATACGGACGTTGATGTCACTTTCAGTCATTTCTCTCGCAAACTGAAAATGCACGATGCATATAYCATGCTCGACCTCTTCAAGSTCGTTGCYAGTTCTMAAAAAGARCGTCCAWCGTGCACATTCATKRATGAAATTGCTGATTGGCGAGCTGCTGTTAAGCCCTTCCTGGTCAAGAGACTGACCGGTCATACTCGTCCACATGCATTTAGGTTTTATATGCAGGATGACAATCCTGTGGTCCAGTGGAAAGAGTATTGCACTTCTCCTGAATGGTCTGCTCCAGTATATTGCTATAAACGAGATGAAAACAAAGCATATGCTGGACCTGAATGGCCATTCGTGCCATCACCTGTTCCACCGTCAGCTTCTCTGCCTACTAAACATAGGAATTCGGATTTCGAATCGTGAATCGAAGGTGTGAAGACGTTTGTTGAGTGGTTGGAGAACAAGCGGCACGAGTGGTTGGGAATGAAAGATGAGGTTAGCTTCTCAAAGGAGAGTGTTCTTTCACACTGGAAAACTTTCCTCGAGACAATCGAGGAGCATTACGGGTCTGGGTTTGCGAAAACTTCACTCAAGGCTGGCTTCTGGCCCTCACAAGACAAAACTTAAGAAGGATGATCCAGATGATATTGATATTGCCTTCCTCTTGAAGAGCAATGAGAATAAGGAGTCATTGTTCGTTGGACCGGCCAATAAGCGTCCAAAGGCGGAGCTCAACCCAGTTGTGGATGTCGAAAAAGGTCAATTCGTTCTCTTGCGTCCTTCCCAAGATGATATCGATGAGGGAGTTCCTGTATGGATGGGTAGAGTCATTGCTGATGTAGACAACGATATGAAGTCGTCAACTTTCAATCATATTCTTATTGAATATTGGGTGTTACAACCTATTGCTAAACGTCTTTCTGTGTAATATTCGAACGCATGGAAAAAGACGTGGAAGAAAGACAACACAACATCACAGCAGTGGCAGCATATAGACTGTGTTGTGTGGAGCTGGACATCAAAGACATTGCTTTTAGAAAATTGAGTGCACATTCCAAAATCGGTCAGAGAGAAGTCCTTGGTATGCCTTTCACTTCCCGATAATGAAGATCAGTAGGTTTTCAATAGGTTTTGAAGAAGAGCTAATCGTATTTTTTTACACGTATTAGTACGTTATTTAGTTGTCATTGAACTTTTATTTATATATATTTAAACTGTATTTTCATGTGTTGCAGAATGGTTCAACCATTTGTGACGATTGGATGGCCGCCAAGTAACATGGTGTGTGGAATAAATATATGGCATGATGTGGGTCCAGTTTACTTCACATCTGAAGTGATCTTTGACAGTGCAATACTCAGTGTTAGAGGTGTGGATGCCCCACCGGAAGATTGGGAACATTCTCCTCGAGAGTCACTGTATATTTGTGATCGGAGGTGTTGTGGAACGAGAACATACCCGCGAGAAGTGCTCGCACCCTTTTCGGAATTGTATTATTCAGCAGTCAAATTCTGCCACAACAATTTCAACGTGATGACCTTGTTTTGTGCAGCGGCAACTGTTCGAGGTCGGTGCAAAGTATCTTTCCTTATTTATAATGACTATTCTGCAAGTGCAAGTGTTTCCAATGCAGACAACATCGATGAACGACGACGGCAAGAATTCCGAAGGAGGATCATGGAGCAACCATCACTCAAAACACTCATGGATGGGCTTGTGGACACGACTATCAAATATTTGCGAAGTCTCCTGCTGCGCGAATATGAAGTAATAGAAAGTTATATAGAGTACAAGGACCCGGCGTTTGACGGACAAACTGATACCATCATTGTAGAAGATTGGACAACTTATACAAGGAC